CCCCCCCCCCCCCCCCGCTCGTTCCTGGGAAGTGGGCCACCAGCTCTTTGGGAACAAAGGCACGACTTGCTTCCCTTCTGTCTCCGCCCGTGCACTGTCCTGGGCAGGGCTCTGAGGGAAAACTCAGTTTCCAGATATGACTCACACGTCCCCTGCGCGATCCCCGCTACCCCTGCCACTGTGGGAAGGCCCAGCGTGGGGCCCCTGGGGCCGGTGGCCGGTGACGAGCTGGCTGTCCAGCCAGGGAGCGGGGAAAAGCCAGCACAGCATCCGCACCCTCACCCAGGGCCCAACTCCAGCTTCCGGCTGGGAGCAGGGACGCCGGGCCCGGCCCGGTCGCAACAGGGAGAACCCCACACGACGCCTGTGGCCTCACGCCTCGTGCCGTCTGACAGAAGGACAGAAGGGCCGTGGCAACTACAGGTCCGCCCACTGCCCACCTGCCCGGCCACGGGGGCAGGAGTGGTGGGATGGGCACAGGCTTGCCTTGCCGTGTCTACCCAGGGCCTGCGAACGCGACCCGATCTGGAAAAAAGGTCTTGGCAGGTGAAATTAGTAAAGGATCTTGAGACGAGACCACCTGGGATTCAGGTGGGCCCTAAGCCCAGGTGTCCTTGTGTAAGAGGAGATGAGATTGGAGAGCAGTGGCCACAAGCAGGGACGCTGGCAGCACCAGAAGCTGGAGGCGGCCTGGAGGGACCCCGTCTGCGGCACAGGGGACGGCGGCCCCGGGGGGCCACACGAGCTCAGCCCTCCCCCACGCTCTCCCTCCTCTGGGACCCTCGACAGCTGCTTTTCATTTCTGATCCCCCAGAGCTGCTCACCCCCCTCCCCCGCCCCAGACTCATGAACACACGGGAGTGAGGTGAGGGCTGGGCGGATGGAGACACCATGAGCTCTAGATCCAGGAAGAACACGTCCCGACCCCACACACACCCAAGGGAAAGGGCGCTGAGGACAGACAAGCAGGCACAGACGGCCGGCAGCCACCCCAGGAGCCAGTGCTAAATCTCCACTGCTGGCAGGAGGAGGACAAGGGCCCCCCAAGACACCTCTAAAGGACACATCCAGGGGACAGTCTGAACCCAGGACAAACAGTGGAAACACAAAATGGAGACAAACATAAAAATGGCCAACAACCATTTCAGGAAGAAAATAACATCTTATTTACAGGCTTTAAAAAACAGCAGAGGGACTTCCCTGGTGGTGCAGTTGTTAAGAATCCGCCTGCCAATGCAGAGCACACGGGTTCGAGCCCAGGTCCGGGGAGATCCCAAGTGTCGTGGAGCAACTAAGCCCGTGCGCCACAACTACTGAGCCTGCGCTCTAAAGCCCGCGAGCCACAACTACTGAGCGCACATGCCACAACTACTGAAGCCACACGCCTAGAGCCCATGCTCCGCAACAAGAGAAGCCACTGCAATGGGAAGCCCACGCACAATGAAGAGTAGCCCCCGCTCGCGGCAACTAGAGAAAGCCCGCGCGCAGCAACGAAGACCCAACGCAGCCAAAAATAATAAATTAAATAAATAAATAAAAAACAGCAGAACCAAAATCCTGGGTGACACCACACAAACTAGGAAGGAGGCCTCTATACCGCCCAGAACAGAGTAAAATGGTCTTGACTTAGACGGTCAACGATAGACTGAGAAGAAAAAAGTAAAGCTGTAAGATACAAAACCCCTGCCCACAATGGGCAGCCCCCACGAGCACACCTGGAAAGCTGGGTACCCCATTCACACCTGTCAGGCCACCAGATAGGGTCATGTGACTGCTGAGAAAAGGAGAGTGGGGTCTCTAAATCCCACACTAGCAGAGGGAAAGATGAAAGGAAAAAAAAGAAATATCAATAGAAACAGAAATAAGCTTAACTCATCTATTACCAAGAAATTCAGACTGGCTCACAATATAAAGCTAACCTCTACGTAGTCCATAAAAAAAACAAAATGCTTTGTAAAAACCAAGTCTCAAGGGCGGTTCACAGGTGAATTCTACCAAACATGTGGGAAGGAGGCCATACCAATCTCCACAATCTCTTTCAGAGGAGAGAAACAGAGTGAACACTTCCTAACTCATCCTCTGAGATCCTAACACTAAAAGCAGAAAGGACACAAGAAAACCACAGACTGATGTCTCGCATGAATATAGACGCAAAAACATTCAACAAAATATTAGCAGGGGCTTCCCTGGCAGCGCAGTGGTTGAGAGTCCACCTGCCGACGCAGGGGACACGGGTTTGTGCCATGGCCGCTGAGCCTGCGTGTCCGGAGCCTGTGCTCCGCAACGGGAGAGGCCACAGCAGTGAGAGGCCCGCGTACCACACACACACACACACACACACACACATATTAGCAGATCAAATCCAACGACATACAAAAACAATTACACGTTACAACCAAGTGGGATTTATCCCACGTAGGCAAGGTTGGTTCAACGTCTGAAATTCAACTGATATTCACATCAACAGGCTAATGAAAAGAAATCACATGGTGTATCAACAGATGCAAAAAAGCATCTGACGAAATCCAACACCCATTCATGAAGAAAACTCTCAGCACGCTAGGAACAGAGGGGACTCGTCACCTTGATAAAGAACATCCACTAAAAACCCACAGCTAAGATCATAATGGCGAGGAAGTCGAAGCTTTTCCACTAAACTCAGATTTAAAGCAAGGACGGCCCTTCTCACCACCGCCCTTCAATACCGCACTGGCAAGTCCTAGCAGATGCACTAAGACGAGAAAAGGAATAAAAGAGGCACTGATTGGGAAGGAGGAGATAAACCGTTTTTGTTCAATGATGTCACGATCGCCTACGTAGAAAACCCAAAAGAATCGACAAGAAACTCCTGGAACCACGCAGCAAGCACAGCAAGGCTACAGGACGGAAGGCGACATCCAGAAGCCAATGGCTTCCCTGCGCCACAGCAGGGGACAAGTGAGATTTGGAACTAAAAACTCAAGAGCAAGTGCACACAGAAAGAAGGCACCGATTGCAACCTTGATGGCAGACGAGAGAGTCCAGTGCTGAAAACACCAACCCTGACAGAGAACTGTGGCGCCCACAGCACATCTACAGACATAACAGTAACGAACATCCCGGGACCAAAGAACACAGCGGCAGCCCTCACAAAGCAGAGGCGGGAAGGGCCACAGACACCAACAGGAGGCCATGACACAACCCTGATGGCCAGGTGGACGTGAGACAAACAGGGTAGCGTCACAGGTACAGAGACGTCCCAGTAAAAATCCGGCACTCATGTGTCCATCAAGAGAAAACGTCACACTGGATGATAACGGCAGGGACGACCCGCCAAGTAAAGACCGAACAGGAGAACACAGGAAGCACATGGCGCTCTGACAAAGCCCCCAACGAGCTGAACTCGACACCCGGCTGCGAACGAACCCCCGGGAGGGACGGGATGGCACAGAGCTGGAGACAGTAACCAGTGAAGGTCACGAGAACTCTTCAGTGGTGCTTCAGAACTCAGCTAAAAGGCGTCAAATTTTGTACCAAGGAGACGGGTTTTTAAAGGAACATCTCTGAAAAGCTAAGGGGAGAGCCGGCTGGGACTGCGGCCTCCAGGCACCGCAGGCAGGAGCCCCCACCGGCCTCGCCGACTCCCGGGGTCGGACCTCGTCTGGCGCTGAGGACCTGTCCCAGCCGAGACCTGCTTCCGGTGCTTCCGCCACCTCCTCCCCGGAGCTCAAGCCCACCTGAGGCCGCCGGCTGCACCTACCCACCCACGACACCTGGGGGGTCCTGGGGGCTCTGCATAGCGGCCCTGCGGGAGCACCCGGCTATGGCCACACCCGCCTCGCCCCCTTCCCTCCCGGCATCTGTGCTGTCACGCGTGCCACGGTGGCCATGGGAGGCCGAGCCCTTACTCTCTTCGTCGATGTTCAGGTCCCACTTATTCTTTATCTTATCAGCAACTTCTCTCTCATCGTGGCCTTTGCTCGCCAAAAACTTCACCTTGTATTCATCCCATGACACGTGGCCTGAAAGCAAGGCAGCTTGTTAGGAGGCTTAACGACGAACGCTTTTTTAATTTTTTTTGCCTGCGCCGTGGGGCACATGGGATCTCAGTTCCCCGACCAGGGATCGAACCCGATCCCCTTGCGTTGGAAGTGAGGAGTCTTAACCACTGGACCGCCAGGGGAGTCCCAATATCGACCGTTTTTAAAAAGACGTATCTGGTTACTTTAAGCCATCGATCCACAATCCTGGTGCTAAGGGCATCTGTAGAGGCAAGGGCAGCAAAACACGCCTCCAAGCTTCACTCCAGAGCCTGGCCCCGTGGTCCCCGCCTGCACGGCAAGCTGGGGTCTGTCTCCCGGGCAGCACCTGCAGGCTCCTCCTGCCTCTCACCTCCTCGTTCCTGGGCCCTCGGCCTGGAGCCCCGCTCCCGCACACACCTCCAGGCACCGCCCTCCGCCAGCAGCCTCAGGTCACCAGGGTCAGGGCGAGGTTGGCCGTACCGTCACCGTCGGGGTCCACGGCACGGAAGTGCGCCCTGCTCTCCGCAATGGCCTCCTGGAAGTGCTCGGCCGTCTTCTCCATGATCCAGCGCTGCATCTCCTTGGCACTGATCCTTCTGTCGGTGTTCAAATCCACCCTGCAGGCCCACAAGACGTGTCAGGCGAGGCCTCCAGCACCCCGACAGACGGGTGGACGGACAGAGAAGGATGGTCACAGGGGTTCTGCAGGCAGCCACAAAACCACCACCAGCAGCAACGCATCCCACCCAACGGTGACGCAGGAGAAGTCAGGGGGGATGTGGGGACACAGTGGAGGAATCAGGGAGGACGCTGGGCAGTGTCACTACCCCATCCGTCTCGGGGCCACTGCAAGGGGAACAAATCTCCCCCCTGCTGCAGGACGGGGTCCACAAACCCACACACCTGGGACTCACGAGGAGTCCCTGGTAACAGGACTGGAGCTCAGACACTGGAGCGCAGTCGTGTCTACTCGCACAAACACAGCTAGCGAGACAAAGAAACAGCTAGCTGTAGGTGCAAGTGTGCCAGCAGCTGTACACTCTGCACACACTCACGTGCATATGTGGGTGTGTGCGTGGCTAGTGCACACCAGTGGACATGGGTCAGAACACACGTGTATGCACGGGCTGGCACACACACACATAGGAGAGGACTACAGGCAAGGACACCCCAGCAGCAGCGCCCACACCCGCTGCCGGGTCCTGGTTTCTAAATCCCACTCTCCCATGAAACGAACCAGCGCTCCCCGGAGAACTGGGTGATTCTAGGGCTGAGGCGGGAACACAAGATGAAGTGAAGCTGGCGTGGCTGGCAGTGCAAGAAAGGAAGGAAGCGCTCACAACAAGGGGCGGGGGGTGGGAGGGGTGGGCAACGACAAGGTGCTGGCGGCCAAGGCTGGAACGAGGTGGGCAGCCAAACTGACAGCGCGGAGCTGCGTCCCCACCAAAGTGCAGACGACACCCACGTGTCCATCCTCCTTACGGGGTTCCAGACCACACGGTGGGTCTTCCCCGGAGCTTCGCTCCCACCCCCGGGAGGGTGGGCTGCCCCTCTGAGTGGCTGCCAAAGAGACGGGAGGACAGGACAAGGGGTGACACTCCTTGGCAGATCCCCCCCTGAGCCAGGTGACCAGGCCGACAGCCCCCGTGATGTCGTGCGGACGTCGGGTGCCCTGATGTGATGTGACGAGAGTGCCACCTCACCTCTGGGGTCTTCTTTCCATAAACCACAACCCCTGTCTAACCAGGAGAAAACACAGCAGACAAAGCCCAAATCAGGGACACGCTACAAAACACCTGAGCGGTCCTCCCCCAAACCGTCAAGGTCACGAAAAAGTAGGCTCCCAGATGGGACCCCGGGCAGAAAGAGGACCCTGGGGCAGTGCGTGACCTGCAGCCTGGAGCGCGGGGAACAGTAACGGAGCACCGTCACGTGTTAGTTTCCACAGTGTGCCTCGGTCTGCATCTTTCTGTGAACCTAAAACCACTCCAGAATAAAAACCTCACTTAAGAAGTGCTGCGCAACATTACTTCTATCTGTTCAAAACTAGGTCTTGAGGCTGCGTGTTTGATCTGCCCCGGGCGGGGTGCAGGGGAGGCAACAGCAGCTGGCAGGGGGCCCCACAGGGCCCACGGTGGCACCTCCAAGTGGGACGGCTCTGGGGGGGGGTCTGAGAAGGTGAACACGGGCTAGACGCTCCCCGATGACAACCCTGCGAGACACGGAACGTATAAGGAAGACACGTGACGTGGGCAGATGCAGCCGAGCGCAGCTGCAACGGCCCCAGGACGCCCTGCCCCTCAGGGCCCGGTTTTCTGCGTTTCCCGATGATCTGCTCTCTGAACCTGAACTGCACTCCCACTCCCAGAGCAGCTGTGAGGGAGGGTCTGTCGCCACTCCTCCCCACTCCGGGGGTCCCCTCAGCCCGGTGCACGCGGCTGCCCTGCTGATCCCTGGAAGAAGCCACGTGCCCTGTGGCCCCGCTCACAGCTTCCTTCCCGGCTGCATGAGACAGTGAGGTCTGGGCGCCGGACGAGCTTTTGGTCACTTCAGCCGCTGACAACGATCAGTTCCTCAAACTGAAGAGGGCGCATCCAGGGGGCCAGGTGGCCAGCTAGGCGCCTCAGGGGGCCGTCGCCCCGCCCCTGGTCCCCCACTTCACCGACGGGGACGCTGCCTGAGCTGGTCCCCCGGCCGCGTGACCCCTGTGTGCACGCAAAGCCCCCCACAAGAGAGTCAGTCTCCTTTCTGGAACCAAGAGCCACCCATCGTGGGTCCTGGCACATGGCCCTGGCGGCCACCGTGTCGCCAATACTGAGCCTGGGACCTGCCAGGCCGGCGCTGAGGCAGAGCTCCGGACCAGCCCACGGCCTGCGGGCACCTAACCCACAACGCGTGCAGAGAGCAGACCCATCGGGCCTGCCTGGTGTCCCTGGGCCAAACCCCTCACCCTCCCCACCACCTGCCCCGTGGGCCCTGTCCCCCCATCACCTCAACCTGTCGTGGCTCCAGGCCAACAAAACAGTACAGCCCCGTCCGCACACGCTCACTGGAGCGCTGATGGCGGCGCGGAGCCGACGGCCGACCGTGCCCAGCAGCAGCTCCGCGCCCACGGGCCCTGCCTCTAACTGGCACTGCGACCAATCCCACGGGCAGCAGGGTGCTGGCGCCTCTGCCCCACACAGCCCTCCCCACGCCCTCTGAGCCCCTGCCAGACACAGGGCGCAGCTCAGGGCTGCCGCCTCACGGCTCCCACACTGCCAACTTCCCAGGAGCACGTGTCACGGCACCACCTCCACAGCACATCACCGAGGGGGGCCTCGTCACCTCGGCGCCGCGCAGAGCTAGGACTGGACCAACAGGGAGGCCGAGGCCAGCCCCCCACCCCCCGCAGGCCCCGGCAGCACCTACTTGGAGAAGATGGCCATCAGCTTCCTGCGGCTCCTCCGGGGCTCCGCATCCTGTTCAAAGCCGTCCGTGTCCTTGCCCAGGAAGACCTCCTGGTGGAAATCCCTGTTGAGGTGCCCATCCATCTCTAGCTTCACCCCATTCAGGTGGTCCGGAGGCAGGATCTCGTTTTCCTCCCTGCTACTCGCTCTCTCCCGAGCGGACGAGTGGTTGGCGGGCCGGGCGGACACGTCCATCAGAAGGACAGCTCCCAGGAGCCAGAGGCAGTGAGGGGCCAGGCCACAGAGGGGAGCCTGCCTGGAGGTCATGGTTGCCGGGGTCTGCGCTGCAGGATGGCCTGCAAGTGTGGCCGGGAGCTGGGGAAGGGGGGTGGCAGATGAGGAGGTGGTGATCACAGCCCGCCTACCACCCACGGCAACGCAGGAGGCCCCGGAGCCGGCACAGCTGCCTGCGGCCAGCAGCCTGAGGCTGCCCGGTCCCAGCCAGCACTTAATGGTCCACAAAGAGGGTGCAGAGCCATGAGATGATGGAGCCCCAGCAAACACTTCGCTAAAGAGACGTTTAGTTTGTAGCACGAAGTAAAAGCCCTTGGTTTCCAGGACCTACGCTGGGCACCCTGTCTCCTCCTCCTCCCACTCCCCCCTCCAACCACGATGAGGTGGCCCTGCCTCAAGGTGCGCCCCATACCGCCAACGCTGCCCCTTCTCCAGGCCCACCGCAGCTGCCCCCAGCACGGCTGTCCTTGGAGGCTGGCCCCAGGGTCACCGTAACTCACTCTCCAGATGCCAGCTCAGCACTCACGAGCTCCGGGACCTTGACGAAGGCGCCTGCCCGCCTCAGCTTCAGCCTCCCCACCCCAAGGCTTTGTGAGGGCCTGGTGCCAGCGAAGCCCAAACCCACCGGGCAGGGCACCACCCCTCCCCCTCCCCACCTCCACGACCCTTGTGCACACACATGTACACACGTAAACAGTGTGCACGCACACACACAGGCACACATACACAAGTGCACTCACGCACATATACACGAATGCACACACATACACAGGCACGCATCCACATGTACGCCCACGTGTGCTCACACACACACAGACACAGGCATCCTTGCTCACGTTCACACACGAACACCAAGAAGGCCAGAGTGCCCAGGAAGTCTGTCACCCTGGGCGTGCCCGGGCTTGGCGGTGAAGGAACAAGGCCACCCTCTGTCCACGTCAGGAACCCCAGGGCCACAGGCGCTCATACCCAGCACTCGGCCACCCGGCCTCTCCCACATCTGCTGTCCACCCCAGGCCGCCGGCCTCTCCCCCACCACCGCCCCTCCTCCAGG